CCCCCCCCCATTTTGTGCCCCCATAACTGGTCTAAAAAGGGGACGTCTTGCAGTCCTGGGAGCAGCATTTTCTTTGGAAAACACTTGTTCTATTCTTCCCGTTTCTTGTTTAATGAATGCATTTGGCCAACTGGAGATGGGGGCAGGGGCAGGAACTGAAGTCAGGCCAAATGACATAAAAAGAGCAGATCAGGCCACAGAAGGAAGTTATATACCTGATGATGTGAAACAGACGTTTGCAAGCAATACCACTGTGCAATTTTTAACCAAATGCAATTAATCAATCAATTGATTGCCCTATCCTACTATGTTACCAAGTTACAAACCGTAGTATGCTAGCCAAGATCCTCTTCGCTAATGTACCTACACCAATGCAGGAAGGGTAGGCTTACACCAGGGATGAGAATCATGCCATCCACAGGCTACATGCACACTATGGATGGGCTCCTATGCTGTCCTTAGGAATCCTGAATTTCCATGGACTTCATACCACCCACAAACTCCTGCTGTAATCTTCACAGAGGCTGGGAAATGGATCTTTCCAGTAGATGTGGTTCTTCACCACACCTTGTTGTCTAATCCACAGGATTTTTTGGTGACTTGGTCTTGGGTGGGCAATTAGGAACCATTAGTTTCACAGAAGACCTGTTACTGGTGAGATAAGAATTGGCACATTGACCTTAGAATCATAGAATCGTAGAGTTGGAAGAGACCCCAAGGGTCATCCAGTCTTTTGTCACGCAGAAATACACAGCCAAAGCACTCCAGATAGATGGCCATGCAGTCTCTGTTTGAAAACCTCCAAAGAAGGAGACTCCACCACTCTCTGAGGCAGCGTCTTCCACTGTCAAATAGCTCTGACCATTAGAAAGTTCTTCCTAACATTTAGGTAGAATCTCTTTCCCTATAGTTTGCATCCACTGCTCCGGGTCCTGTTCTCTGGAGCTTCAGAAAACAAGCTTGCTTCATCCTACTATGACATCCTTTCAAATACTTCAGCATGATTATCATATCACCCTTAACTTTCTCTTCCCCAGGCTACTCATACCCAGCTCCCTAAGCTGCTTCTCATAGAGGTTGGGGGGTTTCAGACCTTTCACCATTTTGGTCACCTTTCTCTGGACACACTCCAGTTTGTCAACATCCTTCTTGAATTGTGGTGCCCAGAACTGGAGGCAGGATTCTAGATGTCTGACCAGAGCAGAAGAGGATCCTTTGAATGGTCCAGAGATTCCCCAATTATTTTCTAATTGACTACTCTTCTTCTTAAAGAACAATGTTTTTGATCATTGTTTCTCTCATTGTCTTATTTTATGCCACCTTTTATTGGTCAAGGCAAGAACAAGCCTGACCTGGAAGCTTTTATGCAAAGGAATCTTATAGCTCCATTGAGACTCACTGAAAGAAAGAAAGTTGGTAGCATAAACATTCGTAGTCTTAAGTCTACTTTCCCAGATACAAGGACTCTCCATACGTCTGAGGAAGTAGAGTTATGTCTACAAAAGCGTATACTACCAATTTCTTTCTTTCTCTCAGTCTCCAAGGTAGTACAAGATCACTTTCCATGCTGACCCAGACTAACACAGCTATGTCTTTGGAGTCCGGAAGTTTTGTAAGGGCAGAATATACTACATGACCTAAGCCAGACTATGACAAGGCCAGGACTGTTGTGGTTTCCTTTATGGTGGTGTTCTTGCCTGCAGTTCTCTCCTTGGCCAGAACTAGGTGGTAGTAGTCAAACAACATCTCTCTCATCCCAGATCTAGAAAGGCCACATCTTCTACACTATAATAGGAAGTTCTAGAGCAGTCCTATATGTCCTCTCTTGTTTTCTTAAATTGTCTTGTGCTGAGCTTCTAGAAAATGGATTCCTAGAGAGCAGAGCCATGAGTCAGAACTGGTTGAGCATGAGCATTTATCCTCAAAGTACTTATTTTGCATTGTTTAAGGAGGGCTATAACAAGCAGCATTTTCCATAGCAATTAAAACACCCTCCTGTTGCTTCCCTCCAATTAATTTTTTAAAAGAGGAGGAAATCTGAAAATCACAAAATGAGCCTTGTTTCATTTCAGACCATGCTGTTATGATTTTTCCCTCTTCTGAAGAACATTCAAATAGGCCATCTGGACCAGGTCAAAGGCCTATATGTTCTAGCCTTCAGTTTGCACAGAGGCCAACTCGATGCTGCAATGCAAAGCCGAGAGAGATCAGTAGTGATCCTAGTCATGTCCCCTGACAACTGATAGTCAAAGTTATTTTGCCTTTGATACTGAAGGTGATGTATAGCCAGAATGACTAGTAATTTCTGATAGCCTTATTATCCATTAATTTGTCCCATTGCCTGGTCTCTTCCATGTCAGCAGTGAATGAACGCTTCATTTTCATTTAAGATTTAAGGGTGCTGAGTCAATTTAGGTTTCAGCACATTGGACAGCTCCTTTAAAATCCAGAATAGAATCACAGACCCATAGTATGATAGAACCCTAGAATTGGAAGAGACCCCAAGGGCCATCCTGTCAAACCACATTCACCCATGCAGGAAGACACAATCATTCCTGATAGATGGTCACCCAGCCCCTCTTTAAAAACCTCCAAAGAAGGAGACTCCACAACTCTTTGAGGCAGCATGTTCCAATGTTGAACAGCTCTTACCATTAGGAAGTTCTTCCTAATGTTTTGGTGGAATCTCTTTTCCTGGAGCTTAAATCCATTGCTCTGTGTCCTATTCTCTGGAGCAGCAGAAAACATTGCTCCACCATTAATACGACATCCCTTCAAATGTTTAAACAGGGCTATCATGTCCCCTCTTAACCTTCTTTTCTCAGGCTAAACATACACAACTCCCTAAGTTGCTCTTTGTAGGGCTTGGTAGTTTCCAGACCATTCATTATTATGGTTGTCCTCCTCTGGGCACACTCCAGCTTGTCCACATCCTTCTTGAACTATGGTGCCCAGGTGAAGCCTGACTAAAGCAAAATCGAGTGGTACTATTACTTCCCTTGATCAAGACACTACACTCCTGTTGCTGCAGCCTAGGATCCTACTGGCTTTTCTTAGTTGCTGCACCACACTGTCAACTCATGTTGAGCTTGCAGTCTACTAAGATTCCTAAGACTTCTTAACATTTGATCCACCACCAGCAGCAGTTTCCTGCTTCAACTCCCAGAAGCCTCAGCCAGCATGATGAATGATGATGGATACTGGGAGCTGAATGACCAAAGTTTAAGGTGAGAACCATTGATCATATTCTAGAGTACATTTCTTGCCCCACTCACATAGAAGCCACCAGCTGCTATTAATAATAATATAATTTATTTATATTTCCCGCCTCTGCCTATGGATCGAGGTGGGAGTACAAAGATAAAATGTACAAAGTGTACAGTAGTACAGTCAATAAAAAAGAAAAACATAACAATAAAACCACAACAGTAATAGAAAAAATCAATAATAAAAACAATAAAAACAATAAACCCAACAATAAAAACAATAAAAATAACAGCAGTCATTAGTACAATAATAAAATTGCCCTCCAGCCTGGTGACCCTTACTACAGCTTGTGGCAGTGAATTCCATAGTTTGATTCCTTGTTGTGGAATAGCCTCACAAGCATGTCCTCAGGAGAGCAAGACTGTCTTTGAAATTGTCTTGCAACAGTGCTTTAAAGTATGTTTTTCTCCCTCATCCATTTCAGAATACCCAACACACTATTGAAGCAGACTGCCAGAAATAGTGCACATTAAATTGGGGCACTGCCCTGGCTCAGTGCTAGGGAATCATGGGAACTGTAATTTATTATGGCACCAGAGCTCTCTCACAGAGAAGGCTCAATGTCTCAGAAAAAAATACAATTCCCATGACTCCCTAGCACTGAGCCAGGGCAGTGCCTCAATTTAATGTGCACTATTTCTGGCAGTCTGCAAAGGCCCACAGTCTAGCAAGGCCATCATATATTTACAGTGTCCTTCCTTTGAAACTACCTTGGTGCAAATGGATTTTCAACACTTGTTGCAAGGAAAATCAGAAGAAGGACTACAGCAAGTACAGTGGACCCTTCTCATCTGTGGGGATTTGGGTCTCACCCCCAATGGATGGCAAAAAAAAACCAAACCAAAAATACCCTCAAATAGTCATGCCCCATATTAATCAATGGTGGTGATATGTGCACAGATGCATCAGCACATCCACATGCACACACTGCCATTGAATATTAGCCATGGTGATCCATGGGCGGTCAAATCCACAGACTGGCAGCCCATTGATATGGAGGGTCCCCTGTATATGTACTGTGACCACTGTAATATATTTTGGAGAATCACCAATTCTCCCTAATGTTCTCTTTCAGCTTTGAATGGTAAGCAACAATGGCCCACTTGGGTGGATTGCATTCAGGAGATTGCCTCCCATCCCAAATGTTTGAAGGCATGCTGAAGCAGTGTTTGGAAATTATACTTGTCTAAAGTAATTTGTATCTGTTACTCACTAAAGAA